AAAGAGGATAAGCTATTTTATGGTGTACGAAGGTTTTTTTTTTTTTTAATTTGATTGGTTTTTTATTTAATTGGCTCGATTTCTTGAGAACTGAAATTCCAGCCGGGTTATAATGTAGGGTAGTAGTGGTGGCGAAACTGAATATATGATGTCGGAATAATGCTATGAATAAAAATCGCTAAAAAATCAAAAAACATTTTTTTATTTCTGAATGACTAATATTAAAAATACGATGTTATATGGCGATCTTTCATGTCTAAAATTGACATTTATCTTTCAACTCCAAAATTCATTGGGACTGCAATCAGTGAAATGCCGAATATTAAGCGTGCAAAATAGTAGAGAGAATTGGTCATTTAGTAAGAAAAGAATTTCTTCCTAAACTTTCAAGATACCTTAAAACGCTTTTGCAGGTCATGATATTAGTAGAGCAAATTGGACATTTAAAAAGAAAAGGATTTCTTCCTAAACTTTCAAGATACATTAACAGTCAGGCCTTTTGCAGTCATGATATGGGTTATAACTCTCAAGTGGTTAGGAAAGAAAATTTAATATTCTATTGTAACCCTCAAGGAACATTGCAAAGTGGTCGAGGTCGTATGGGAACAGCGGCCAAAAATACTTTCCGTGCAGATATCAATATGAATCTTTGGTTATGGTACCATGATGCGATAAAAATAAAAAATGTGACAAAATGGATATGGTCGATGCATGTTTTGACATGGTCCCTTTACAACGTACCTCCCGAACATTTGTAACATTTACACTCCAGATTGTTCAGTTATTTGACATTTTACATTCTAAAGAGTTAAAGAACAATCTTACGGAAAATTAGTTGGAGCGGTAGGTAGAGTCCCCTATAAAGGTACCTCAAAAAAAATATTTTTTATACAAATCATGTACAAATTTCTTTTATTTTCATATTGTTTATAAACAAAATAAAATAGCAATTCAATATAAAATTAAATCATAATTATTTAGGGATACTTATATATTTTTTATTTTTGGTAACGTTTACTGTCCCCTTACAAAAGGGTCAGTGCTCAGAAGAAGACGGTTAATAAGATCTGTATTTGTTGAAACACAAGAATTTTTTCGTGTATGGTTTAGTCTAAACTTTTTTATATCTCTCCAATCGATACCCTGGCATATTTTATAATGTCGGGTGCATTATTATTGATATGTATTTGTTAAATCTTTAGCAGTTTCCACTGCAACGGCTTTAAATTTTTCGACATTAATATTGTAGCCAGAAGTCAATGCCTGTAACAATATTGAACACCTCTCAATTACATCTTTATCAATCCCAATTATCTCCGCAGATAAGCTCACATTTTTAAAAAATCTTCTCCTAGTATTCCCGTCTCGTTGTTGATCCACTGCCTCCAAATTTTGGCCTATCTAAAATTGAGCCCATTTCTTCTGGAAATTTCAATTGATATTTTTTTTTTTTTTTATTTTTGGAATTAATTTTTTTCTTTTAAGTTTGACCTAATTTGCAATTTTTTAATTTCTAGTCTGTAAGACAAATGAAGAAAGTACTAAAAACAAGTAAAAAAGCAGCTAAGTTCGGCTGGGCCGAAATCGAATACTACCACTTAGATGAAAACCGTTATATGGGGACTATACGAAGTCAAGGTTCTGCTTACGAAAATTTTTGTCATAGGCTGTAGTACTCATTATAAAAATACTCTATATAAAAAATACAAACAACAAAAACATATTCTGTACCACTAGCGCCATAAAACTGACAAAATTCCAGCTAAGTCAGTTTACGAATTTGGGCATAACATACACATCTGACAAAATCTGAGAGTTAAATTAGCACTTTTAGAATCTTAGGGCAATTACTAATAGCGTGAAAAAAAAATCACATTGAAGGATTCAGGGGGGAAACAATTAAAAGTTTAACTGAAATCCATATTATTGTCAAAATTAATCTTAAAGGCTACTCAGAGCACGCACATCTTCTATATTATACACAACTACTAAACACTCAAATTACTGCACTAAAAATGAAAATCACTCAATACCTTACTTTTCAATAATTATGCTAAGATTTGTTATTTTGAAATGTATTTAATTTTATAATGCAGTTCTATTTTCACCCTACTTTTACACTGATCCCACTGAAAAAACAGCTAACTACATATTCTCTTTTTATGCTATTTCTAAAGTGTGCTGTTAGAATGAAGCTAAAAAGCTTAACCCCTTAAGAGTACATTTTTACACATTTGACAATAAATTTCTGATTTTCATTTTTTGAATTTTGGCCAATGGCGGCGACCACTGTGCATTGGTTAGAAACGTAAATTTGGTATATACGTCTATATGAAAAATAAACTCCGAAATGTCAAACTTGTACTCATTCAGTCGGAAATTGTGGTAGAAACATAAAAAAGTAACGAATATCAGAAAGTAACACGGGATCGAACATTTGTTCAATCATCATTTATTGATCGATGAAAAATATGGACTTTATGGGATCTCCAACGCACAATTTAAATGACAAAAAATGAATTACCATCTTACGGTAATGGGTGTGAAAGTGTAATTATCATTGACTACTCTGAAACCATTCTGACAAGTGGTGGAGAAGACTAAATACCACGCAGAGAAAATTAAACGTGGGAAGTATAAATTCTAAATTACAGTTCATTTGATTGGAAAATTTTGCTAAGCTGTTTACAATACCAAAATTTGAGCTTAGTTCTCACGTGTGGCTATTATAGATTTTCTATATCATATAGGTTGGTTTTTAACACTCAAATTAAAGCCTATGGCTGAAAAATAAGATCAGACTATTCAAATAAAACAAAATACCTAACACCGACGGTAGGTGAACATCTATTATAATTTTTCTCGTGAATATTAATTCTGTTTAGAAATTTCTATGGAGTCATTACTTATTACAAAAATTGTGACTTATAGCCAGATCTATGATTTGTTGTGCCTCAAGAAATATGCCTTAAAGACTAAAAATAAATTATACATTTGGAAACTAGTACTAATTTACCTAGATTTTTTAGTATTTTCGAGAATAAAATGAAACAAAAACCTATATGAGCAAAATGACAAATTCAGACTCTCAATTAAAAATAATACATATAGAAATAACCTTGATATTTGAAATGATTTTTGAAGAAGTCCAACTATGTTTCCTAAACAAATAAATTTTAAAGTTTATAACAAAAAAGCTAGGTGGAAGTTTCCATCATCGTCCAGGCCGTTTTTATTATCATGATATCAAAATAAACAGTCTTAGACTAGAAATAACGAGGATGCCATAGAAGATTTTTATACTTTTATGATAAGAAAACAACAATTCCTTTGTCTAAGACAAATAATTATTTTTATTTAAACACAAGTTGCCGCTACATTTGCTATGACGACCTTATTTTTTCTCATTACTTTTGCATGGATTACAAAGATCAAGTGTTAAAAAATTTCTGAATAGACTCATTGCAAGTGGTTTTTATCTTGGCTCTAACGCATATTTTACTACGAGGTCAAGTAAGTAAAAAAAAAAAACGATCATACCATCGACCTGATGGATGTAAACATTTCTAAACCTTTTATCGGTTGATTGTATTTATAATTATATATTTTTTTGTTTGTTTCAATGACAAATTATTCACTCATCAATTCACAACTAGTTGATTATAGTTTTGTTCTTACCGTAGTGTGTTATAAATTTGTTCTGCTGGAAATATTAATTATAAAAAATGGAAGAATTAATGACTTCGATGCTGGAAGATTCAGATCGATGGACTCCCCAGTTAAGTTTGTACTGCGTGCAGGAAGCCTTTGGAATGTTGTAAACGGAACGGCAGGGAAACCAGATGAATCTGGCAACGGATCGAATAAATGGATTGCTACAGATGCTAAAGTTCAGAGGGCTTAAGTGGTATAAATGGGTGAAGGGCCTGTGATTCATATTACGATCGGAAAAGTATGTACGAACAAAAATCTTATTCCAATAAACAGAAGACTGCGTATTTCAAAATTACAGAAAATATCAAAGCAGTTGCAAAATGACAAAACTTCGGAAAATATGTGAGTATAAAAATTTTTTTCGCACGAAAGAACAATGAAAATTTAAAATCAAGGTTGTGTAGGAAAGGGTCAAAATTGGTAGCATAACTGGTCTGATAAAATTGGAATCAAAGAAGTTCCAATTAATGGAAAGAAACAATGTGGGAGCATTGGCATTGGAAATAAGATTGTCCAATGAAGAATGATAAGAAATTCAAGAAAAATTGTGATGCTTTCATCGCTTTCATATTGCGATATACATGTTAAAGCGTTTGACGGCAAACTATATTGGTCGCAATATTAATTAAATGTCCTCCACGTGCCTGAAATTAAGTTGAATTGGTTTTCCACAAACGCTTATTTGGACAAGCGCTACGTAGTGGAAACTGAAGCTGGTTCATAAGTATTTAAACGACACAGACAAAAGCCATGTGTTTGAGGAAATTCCGAACTTTTTAAATTGGTACTTAACAAGATTATATTTGCTCTTATTAGAAACAAGATCCATTGTATGAAAATGAATGTAAAGTATGTTTTAGATCTGCAGAAAGTAAATAGTTCAAGTAATGATATCTTCTGTAAGCGGCATTAGGAGAATTGAACTCTGAAAGTTGGAAGCTTAGTCAATACAGATACATGTGTAGGGTACATATTCAGGCATGTCACAGAATGTAAAATCGTTCAAGAGTGAAAACGAAAACGGTTTTAGCTTCTCTAAAAAACGGAAAACGCAAAAATTTTGCGTTCTGATATCACTTTCAAAAAGCAGGGTGAAATTGAAATGTTTAGTGATTTTAACGTAAAAAATAAACAGAAGACACATACATTTAACAGAAAATATTGTATTAACCAAATTCTCTTAGAATGAACATGTTTTTGGAATTTATTTTACAAAAAATCTATTATTTTTCTAATCCATGATGAAAACGCAAAAAATATGCAGAAATGAACGGCAGACTTGTATTGTTGAATTATTGCCATATGTGTTGAAGAAGAAGGTGTAGAAATGTACAACTGACAGACCAAAAAGCAAGAAAGGGGAAAAACAAAAAAACAATTAATTGTTTGGTTTGAGACAGAGCGCTTCAGTCAATCGGGCAAAAATGTAAGTATTTACATACATATTTCTAAATTTTCGTCAAAAACTGTTTATTTAATTTATTTTATACTTTAGGGGCAAACACCGAAACGTTAAACAGGACAAAATTTTTATCAATTTTATGGATAAACATCACGATATTGCCAGGGGCTATGTAAAAGGTGATAAGGTTGTTGTTGATTCTCTATGGACGGAATTGACAGCTTTGCTGAATAGTTCAGGTCCACCAAGTAAAACCTGTAAAGAATGGAAGAAAGTTTGGTCAGATTGGAAAGGAAATGTTAAGGCGAAGATGTGTCATAATAAAAAGGACTTGCGAGGAACTGGTGGTGGTGATATCAATCAATATGTTTCAGTGAACACGAGAACAGTTTAATCAGAATTTGAAATGCACCAGTAGCCAAAAACCTAAGCGTTGTTGCAAGCTGGATAATAGCCGGTATATTGGAACGTTTGAGGTGGGGAGAAATTTTTTCCAAAACTAAAACAAAAGCTTCTTTATTTAGCCGATAATATGTTATAAATCTGTAGAAATAAATTATTATTAAAATAAATTTGAAAATAACTCATTGCTGGTGGATCCTTACTCTGCATTTGAGTGAGATAAAGGATCTGATGCGTTCCTCAATGTCCAGCGACGAATTTTTTCAGTAGACCGCTGATTTATTTCTTCATCCATTACAGCAAGTACTGAAGCCCCTGGTATTTTTACTTTTGGTGTTTATATTATAAAAAACAATTTAAACTCCTTTTTTAATTGTCAATAATTTGTTTACGACTTTTTTTCACGGAGTTACCATATTTTTATTTCAAAAATGTGAAATGATTTTTTTTCCGGATTAGTCAAAACGCACGAGTGCTGAAGAAGCTAAAGCAAATCGTAACGATTTGGAAAAGGTGAAATAAATCGATTTCGTAAAACTTCTGTGACATGCCTGATTGTTCATGTTCCTGAGGAGGAAGCGGGGAATGGGATACGAAATCCAAAGCAATTGCAAAGGATATAGTGTTTAGAAACCCAAAGTAATACTGAAATTGCAAGAACTGTTATTTAAATTTATAAAAATTTATATATAAATTTATATATATTTCTTCTCTCCGCTTTTTTTTTTTTTTTTTTGATTTACTTATTTATTCCTAAATATACCTTGTAATAATAAGATGAATATCTAAAAAATCAGTTTTCTTACTTTAAAGGGAGGAAATCGCAATGGGGGTCTCAAAAAATTATGCCATTGAGGCCATGGAAGGGTAAGGGTTAAGAGGAACTCCAGGAAACATCAGGAGTTTGCTTATGTAGGTACCTGGATAGATTTTTCCGATCGTTTATGATCTGAACCGACCGGGGTATGATAGTTGGTCAGAAAACCACTGCATCCAAATTTAATTATTTTCGTGTTATATTTCGGGAGTCTAAAATAAAATATTTTTTGTTGATGTCCGAAGGATATTATTTTGAGATCCATTGCAGACACGAGCAAATGAATATCTCCCAGGCTGATTGTTTTTAAACTACTTGCCAATAGCTTACAACTAAATATCCTTCTCGTTTATTTTATGTGACTCAAGCCAAAGATTTATAACCCTTACAAAAAATATAATTGAGAGTCGTGAACAATACAATTCTGGTCAGTCTACCTCAAGGTAAACGTCCAATACTAACGAGTGGGGCTACTCACAAAATATGGAGTTAACTATGAGGAAACCTTAAGTATTGTTATTTCCATAAGGATGATTTTGGCTATAAGTGAATATTTAGATTATTATCTAAAACAGTTCCTTATAAAATCAGCATTCTTATGCAAAAACTTGGATGAAGAAATTTTATGAAACAACCCGCTGGATATAGCGATGGCAGTGAAAGAGTATGTCTGTAAAATATTTTTTATAGTTCCAGATGTTGGAATAGGCGTTACTTATCTAATTAATATAGACGATGGAATAATTGCCGCTAAGTTTAAAGAAGTAGCTGACGAAGCTAATGATTACAGCCGGGAAGATTACATACCCGTCAAACCAACAACCGACCAAGAGGAACATCTGTGTGTAGAGTTTCAATAATAAGTGATCAACTGCAGACTTTTTAAATATCTTTAATTTTTTCCTCCCGGTGCATATTTAGTAGCTCATAGCTGATACTCATTTCATCATCAGAGTTCCCTCATTCAAGGCCATATTATAATAGCCAGCCATCTTTAAAAGCTTCGTTTAAGCTTCAACTTCCCCGTCTTCTAGATAGTATTAACAAAAAAGAAAACATTGTAATAATACGTTTTCCCAATGAATATGTAGCATTTTTGCATTAAACGCAAATTTTTGCAGATGTTGTTTTAAACAATTACATATCCTTTTATCTACTCGTTTTTCTGTATCAACTTAACTGCTAAAAAAGAAACTGTTATGAATTAACTATGAGCTGACTGAAAAATCATCTAGGGGCTAACCAATTTGAACACAAAAATATGTCGCAAAAATAAGAAGATATACAATTCGCAATATGAGCATAATACATTTTCAAAAAATAGTTTAATACAAATGCAAATATTAGTAGATAAAAATAAATTAGAATAAATTATACTCTTTATCCAAATAAAAATAATTTGATTGTCGAAAATATAATCTTTCTTTAACAGCTATTAAAAAATCGACAAACTTTTTTAACTCGCCCTCTTATACAGAAAAAACTGTATTTTTATCTATATATAAAACAAAGGTGTAGAAAATTTATAGTAACTCATCAATTGAAAAGGGCTGGACCGATTTAACTTACATATTCTTTCGGTTTTTTGTACTTGCAGTGAAAAGGTTTTTTTTCGAAAATCTTCCAGACAGTCGCGCAATCTGAACAGTTTTAAATTGTTTTTTGAAATGTGTACAAAATTGTTCCAGAATGACTTTTCGAATTCTTAGTGGAAAACTCGAAAAATTCCCATAAAAATGTGAAAATTTGCATGTTGCAAATTTGGCAATTCGCCCCAATTTGGAATGGTAGAATAGGATAATATCGCATTTGGATCGCATACAGCATCAACATAGCTATAGTTTATCATTTTATCTCATGACACTTTTTTGACTTTCTATATTAAATTCAACAATTTGTAACACATAGTGTTACCTAGAATTCGACGTACTCGGTGGACGTTTTCTCACACAAGTAAGACACAAAAAAAATTTGCACTACCACTAAAATTTGGCGAAGCCAAAAAAAGCACTATGTATATAAATATTATACCAGCTATAATGAAGTTTATTGAAGTGAGTAGGGAACAACAATCCAGAATATATAGTACATATTCATAAAATTTGATTACTTTTATAAATAACACTAATTTAGTGCTATTTTTTATGAAATACCACTAATTTAGTGCAAGTTTTTTCAAATACCACTAAATTTAGTGGTAGTGCTATTGAAATTTCACTACCACTAAAATTTAGTGGTAGTGCAATTCTTTTTTAAATATCACTAAAGCGTTAGTGGTAGTGCAATTTATTTTTCACTACCACTAACCCTTTAGTGGTAGTGGAATTAAAAATTGCACTACCACTAAATGAATAGTGATAGTGAAATTATTAGTGCACTAAAAATACAGTGCATTATGCCCATCTCTGGGTAATACGGACGTGCGAAGTGAATATTTTTGTAAGCTATGTTAAATTTTAGGTCACGACAATGAAGTGAAGCCAATCAAATCCTTCCACAACATGGTGGTAGTTGTGACGTCAATCCTAAAACAATCAACGTATCTATATGTAGATTAAAACCGAAAAAGAAACCAATACATCAATGTAGTCGGAAAAATTTCTGATTTTCTGAACAGTTTGCTTGGAAAATCTTATTTTTAGGTTCTTGGAATGATTGTGGAAGACATTTCTGGCTACCTCGGTGAAACAATATTATTGAATAGAACTTAAACAGAAGGCAGAAACTTGCAACACAACGAGTGACAGGTGGTGGAATTATATGAAAGCTATACAAAAATGGGTATACGTATACTCGTATGCTAATATCAAAGATCTATCTTAAATATTGTGGCATGCTAAACTGATGGCATATTAATTTACACCCATCTTATGGTAATGGTCTAAAAATTAAGTTACTTTTAGCTGTCTCGATCTCTTTATGTCCTACATTCTGAGCTGAAGAAGACCTAACACTTTGCATTATGACTTCTAAACTTTACAGATTATTTAATTGAATCTATTTTAGACAAAGGCGCTCAAGAGACTAAATCAATAACCCACAAAACAAGAAAAATGTCAATAATCTTAAACCATGAAATTCGATAAATTGCCTGCAGCTGAAAGCCTTTACTAGTTTATACATATCATATCAGAAGGTTAAAATGTTCAAAAATAAGCATTAAATAATAAAACTAGGGGCCAGCAACGCGGAACGGTTCGGCTGGTCTGAATATAATTTTGTCAAACTTGTTGAAAAGTAATGCAGGGATGGACAATCATGACTTCTCCCTAGATCATCTTTGAGGCGGGATTCTTGTGAAATGGCAACTTTTTATACCCTCCACCATAGTATGGAGGGTATATTAAGTTTGTCATTCCGTTTGTAACATCTCGAAATATACATTTTAGACCCCGCAAAGTATATATATTCTTGATCAGCATAAAATTCTATGTCGATTTATCAATGTCCGTCCGTCTGTCCGTCGGGAAATCACTCTAGCTTCCGAACGAAATGAACTAGGTTGATAAAATTTTACTCAAATGTGTACAATGTCTGCAGGACTTTTGGTATTGAAAATGGGCCATGTAGGTCCACGTCTTCGTATAGCCCCCATGTAACGGTACCCCCCGATATTCGGTATTTTGATCATTTTAGCGACATTATTTACCGGAATTGTTTCAGTTATAGTATTTGAAGTTCGTAATGAATACCACATCCTAAGACAAAAAATGAGCCATGTAGGTCCACGTCTTCGTATAGCCCCCCATATAACGGTACCTCCCGATATCTCGTATTTCGATGATTTTAGCGACATTATTTACCGGAATTGTTTCGCATTTTGCATTTGAAGTTCATAATGGATGCTACTACCTATCACAGAAAGTTGTCTGTGCAGGTCCACGCCTTCGTATAGCCCCATATAACTGTACCCCCACGACATTATTTACCGGAATTGTTTCAACATTCGCATTTGAAGTTCGTAATGAATACTACAGCCTATGACGTAAAATTGTCTGTGCAGGTCCACGTCTTCATATAGCCCCCATATAACGGTACCCCCCGATTTTCGGTATTTTGATGATTTTAGCGACATTATTTACCGGAATTGTTTCAAATTTCGCATTTGAAGTTCGTGAAGTTCGATACTGCAGCCTATGACAGAAAATTGCCGGTGCATTATAAACCTTTTTTTTTCAAGTTTCGCATTTGAATATTGTAATAGCTTGTGACAAAAGTTGCCTATGCAGGTCCACATCGTCGTATAGACTCTAATATACGGCTACATTAGGTATTTTCAAGTTTTTAACAGATTTTTAAGGGATTTTATTTTTTTTTTTGAAGATTCTTAAATTTGTACCAAATGGTGGAGGGTATTCAAAGTTCGGCCCGGCCGAACTTACAGCCTTTTTACTTGTTTCATTATAAAACTTTTCATTTGACATTTCTTTTCCATAGTATATTTTCAGGGATCTGTGCTTTTAGCAAATTATTACAGCAGTGATTATCCCAGAATTCAAACTACATAGTTGCTAATCAACGG